AGGTTCTCAACATCCAGATCACTCGGAGATCGATTTTCCAATCTCGTGTCCAGCAGATTCAGTGGTGAATCCTCATTCTCTGAGGACAACAATTACAAGTTTCATTTCAGTTTTATGTCATTTAGTTTCAGTTTTTTCTACATTTAGCTGATCCTTGTCCCAGTATTTAAAGTCTAGTTTAGAGGTTATTTTAAGCTATAGTTAGATTCACCTTAGTATTGAGTTAATATTTCTTTTGTAGTAAACTAATTGTTTTCAAATATCTTAGTTATAGAATATAGGAACTCCTCATGTTTTTTCGTTTAAGTATGATTTAGATTCCACAATATTTTATTATCTTTGGTATGCTCATGCTAATGCAAGCAAGGTTATCTTGGGATCAATTTTTGTCCTATGTTCCGTGTACGCGTCTCTATTTTCACTAGTTTCAAAGGCTTGATTGACCCTTGGGATTGAATCTGGCCAGGGGGTGCCCTCGTAAAGACTAAAACCTCGTTACGCCGAAAATAGTAGAGGTGCGAAAGCGCGGGTAGCTCGGGGCATGAAATTTTCTATGCTAGAGACCTTAATATTATTAGTTTGATCAAGTAGTGTCTATTTCTTTAGTTGCGAAACATTACATGTAGAAAAATGGTTAATTTTTATAGCATGTGGTGTTGATGTCTGTTATTATAGAGTAAATGTTTTCATTTATTGCCAAAAAAATATCCCTTACTATAAAGGTACATGTCTATAAAAGTTTTGTTGTTTATGTGCCATATATGTCTCTCCACACTTTTTCCCTTAAAGTTATATTCTACCTACCCCTACTCTCACGAGGACGTGAATAAGTCATTCAAGCAACGTTATTTTAAAACTCTAGAAAAACAAACCTATTACACCGCTACATTACATAGGTCTAACTGAAAATATCTATTTTTAACACTTATTTAACTGCACTAAAACTAAAAATAAATTCAACCAAATTTTGAATTGAAGGAGTCAAACGAAGCTCTTGCAATTTTGCTAGTTTCATTTATATTATATGAGAACCTAGTTGATGGTGACACTACCTCCCTATAGCACATCATCTTGACCCCGATAGAAGTACTTTTTAAATGACACATCATCAATGTAGTGGTTTGGGACACTTCATACAAATGAGGGGAACCTATACAAAGAGCTACTCACCAACTCTCCAGTCAATGTGACAAAGTTGTTCACTCTATCTTTTTGGTTGAGCTTTTTAGACACCTGACAATATCGTGCTAGGAACACGTCCCTCACCTGCTCTAAAGAATAGATAGAAAATAGGGCAACTAAGTGAACAAAGTTGCGGCCTCTCCCGTCAGTGAGAGAGGGAACACTCTTAACCCGATGATGTCAATGTCCAAGTCACGACTCCCTACACAACTCTTACACACCGACCTTAGTTTAGAGATGTGATCTTGAGGATACATAGATTGTAGCATCGTAAACAAACCTCCGGCGGTGAGCATATGCATAAATCTAGTAGTTACGACAAATGTATGACCTTGTGGTAGAGGAGGTAGTAGAAGAGGACCATTAGAATAGGTGATGTTAACATTGACCCTATAAAACTCTTGAGGGCGTGGAGCAGGAGGCTGCCTCCTTAAAACATCATCCCCCGGGTTTTCCAAAATTACTAGGTTATGAGAATCAACCAGAGGAGGATGCTGATATTTGATCCCATAAGCTAGATTAGCGAGATTGTGTGGGTCATTAATTTTTCGGAGTGTACGGTTCAGTTCTAGATCAAATGGAAGTTTTGGTTCTCCTTGACTCTGTGAACTTAACATACACCCAAGCTAGACCTGGAAGGCACGAAAACAATGAAAGAAAAGTAAAACAAGGAAATTGTTGACTAAAACTTTGTAATGTTATTAAAATTAATCTAAAATCCCCTTCTCCTAGAAACTGTGCAAAAATTTGATACCCTCAAATTTCACTTCCCTAAAGAAGTATAAGCGGTCGTATCAAGGAAAAAACCAAACTATTAGGTTGTGGTCGATCACACGAGGAAAATGATTTACATTTAACTTTAATGTATGATTACCTCTAATTAATCAAGTCCTTTTTTCAAATCTAGTAATGTAAAGAGGTATTTTTGTAAAACAAAAGTGTTGAAATGCTGAAAATCAAACAAGTAACAAGAGTGAATTATTGGTGTTTATGAAGTTGTGAGAGAAACTTGGGATTATGTTTTCCCCATAGGTTCCTAACGGAATAATCCTAGCTATAACAATTCTTTCCTAGTGTTTTCACGCAAAGTGATAAGCTATGTATCGTTAAATCATTGGTCCGTATTTTTGAGAATTTTACCTCGTACATTGGTCTGGCTACGTGTCTAAGTTGCTAACCCATACCTTTACTTCATATTATGCATCATATTTGATGTTTGGCATATTTATTACTTCTCACAAATCGAAACTATGCTATTAAAGATTATTTACTAAACCTATGGCGATAATTCTTTTCCCATTAACCTCCCCCTTGGTCTAACAAGTATCAATAAGGAGAGTTCTAACGCGTCCACTCGTAAAAAATACTTCTAGAGAAACGAATAATCGATGCATGCAATAACCTATTTGAGTATTATTATTTAGTTAGATTTATTCTGTTTATCACCAGTTGTTCCTACAACCCTAGTTGTTGATTTAGTTATCCATGTTAGAAGAACACAATTCATAATTGATAAATAATAAATCATGAACTTACTTTGACAAATTCAAAGAAAATCTAGAAATTCAACTTGAAATCACATAATTATCTTGAACAGCAAATCCAGAAATTCGATTTAATTGCAAAAACAAATCTCCAAGAACAAAAATATGAAATTAGTAAAAGAATTCAACCCAAAAAAACAAGATTTTTCTCCCTATTTATAATAACAATTGTCCCAAATTAAATATTATTTCAATGAAGGAAATTTTGTTCAAAACACGGCTTCAATCGACAACCACCATAGACGGTCTGTCGGTTGAACAACGGACTGTTGATTGCTTCCGTCGGTCCATACATAGCATCTTTTCAAAGCCTACACTTTGCATCTTCTCTAATCCAATCGACAGACCAAGAACACCGTTAGTCGATGCACTTACGGTCCATAGATTCTTATTGTCATTCCATACTTATATTTTTTTTAACATCGGATACTGAGACAGTCCCTGATCACATAAACGATTTGCTAGGATGGTTTATCGATTAGTCGATGGACCGTCGATCCTTCCGTCTCCCAGCACTTAGTTATAATTCCTCGAGTTTCTTCCAGATGCCTGAACATTCTATTGATGGTCACCACCTACGGTCCGTCGATGGGATGACGGGTCGTTGATGGATTCATGGGTGACTTCTCCACTTATTCTTCACAACCTTCAGCATTTTAGATTTGGACAACTTTCCTGCAAACAAAGACAGGACATATGAGAATAACTACAAAAAACGCTCTAGACACACATCAATCTTAAAGAAAGTGCATTGAAAAGTCTTTGAAACTTTGGTACATCAGTATACACCAAAGTTCGATTGTTCAATGATATCGCATCTACTAATTAATCCAGTATATCTGACATATGTTCACTACATAAAGTCTAAAGGGGAAATATTTTGATGCAGATGCAATTAATTCTTGTGTGTAAAGTACACATACTTTGCTCTTTTATTGTCATAGAGTCATTCCCCATTTATGTAGGGCATTGTTCGATTTTAAAAGGTGTAAATGGAAAATAAAGAGATGCTACTTTTATGAAACATTGAGACATTTGTGAAAAGTTTCGACTTTTATGATAAGTTATAACTTTTATGAAAGGTTGTGATATTTATGGAGTGGCTTGTTTACACGTTTTTGGTAGTAATACACTAGTAATTGAGATCTATCCTTGGAGAAAATATCCTAAATAAAACCACAAATCTGTGCCTCTTTTTCTTAATTTAGTTGATGAAATACCTGATTTACTATACTAGACCAAAGGAGCATTCAACCAAAAATATCTTTCAAAATAGGTGTACCTAAATTATTGTTGGATTTAAAATAATATCCTCGAAGAAAGAAGATGTATTGTTGTACTATTGAATTAGTAATTCCCCATTTCTTTTAGAAATTGATTTATTTTGATTTTCTTAAACCTTTTATCACTATCATTTCTATTTAAACATAGTATGATAATCGTAAAAACTTATCTTGGGACGAAGATTAAATAAATGAAATAGAAGTAATCTCTCGTCCTCATGACTTGAGTGTTGAAAGGTATATCCATTACATGCTTTTTCTTAGTTCCTCGTTGGTTTGTGACGAAAAAGGGCAAAAGAAAAACCCATTCAAAAGGGCAAGGGGAGTGTAGTATATGTTTTTATTTTTAAAAATGCTCATACACCACATATACCTTTTTAAAAAATCACATCTATGAATTAACTTAAATATATACACACACACACACACAGATATATATATATATATATATATATATATATATAAATATACGCATGTATATATATACTAAAAAGATGATTAGTGAATCGCGTAAAGCACAACTAATTTCACTAGTTAAAGAGTGTAAATAAGTGGTAATTGATACGGTTAAAAGAATCAGTCTTTAATAGAAGTAAACAAGAAAGAAAAATGAAAATGGGAAGTTAATTCAAAGACAAAAATATAACTAGTACTCATCACAAGAATCATATGAATGAGATATTCAATGCAATCCTCACGAGAGAACCATTGCATTGTCCTCATAAATCAAAGTCCTATATATAGTAAAGAAGTTCTTCAATAATTTCCCATCCTACCTCAATCATGGTAAACTCTTCTTCCAACTACCCAAACTTTATCAAAATCATTTGTTCCTCTGATGAATTATGTCATCTCGTAAGTTCATATTTGTTTTTCTAACAATTTCCCTTTTTATTATAGTGCATTTGCAATTTTAGTCCTTGTGAATTATTGATTTTAGTAGTTCTATTTATCTTGTATGAAACTAAATTAAAATTTCCTTTTCATACAGAGGAATCCTTTAGTATTTGCTAAAAGTCATTGCAAAAACATGTTAAGCCCCGTGTTTCTTGAGTCTCCCCATGGAAAATCATGGGAGGTTGAAGTGATAATGTCTCAAGACGAAATTTGGATAGCCAAAGGATGGAAAAGCTTCTGTCCCTATTACTCAATAAGCGTCAAGAGCCTATTAATGTTCACATACATCCCGTGCTCTCACTTTGATGTCACTATATATGATCAAAGTACATCAATAATTGAATATCCAATACATCAAGATATTGAAGTTGATGAAGAAGAGGATGTCATTCCATTCTTCCAATATAATGCTATTGCAATAGAGGAAGATATTCCAGTTTACCTTCAAGCTAATGCTAATGTAATTGAGCAAGGTAAGTAAGCATCATAACTTATTTATTAACTATTAAGGTGAATAGATTGAGTAGCCATGTATACATTGCATTTGGATATCTATTTCAAAAAATGTGCATGTAGTGACAATGATTTATTTTTACATAAGACATTTTAAACTTGTGGTCTTAATTATTCCAAAGCATTTCATTGGGTCTTATATCAAACTAGCTGTCAAACTTATATCAAGTTGTTGCAGATAAGGAGGTTGGAGAAGCTAATAGCAGAAGTGAACAAGTTAATCCAAAGATTTATAGAAGTCTACACAACTTGTTGAACATAAATGGTGACAAGCTGCATTTTGAAATGGTTATAAAAAAGGCACATTCTACTTATATGGTAATGTTTAATAGTTTTTACTTTGTGTCATCAGATTTTTTAGTTTTTCATTCCATTACACACTTACTATTTTTCTGAAAATCTAACGATCATGTTTGTTTGATGAATATTTTTGTTAGACTATCCCATTGAGATATTCCCAAGGTACATATATAATTAACATGGCGAATATGAGGCTAGTTAGTGAAGAAGGAGAAGAATGGAGAGTGGATATAGGGTATAATGCGGGTAAGGTTATAATAAAAGGGGGATGGTCTGCATTCCAAAAAGATAACAAGATATCTAATGGTGAAACTTGGCGCTTCAAATTAATTCGGGGCCCTATTGCAAATGTTTTGCAGGTTCACAAGAACCCAACACTCCTTTTGATTGCAACAAATTAGCGACATTTTCCTTGGATTGCATGTTGGATATTTTAGTTTGTCTTAGGAAGATGCTAGGGAAATGTTATGTATGTTTTCTTTAGAAAAAAAAAGACAGACAAAGTTGCACTTAATTTGCTAGGATATGAAATTTCATAAAGATTTTTGCACAAATTGTCTTGTTATAACAATTATGTGTATTTACCCTAAATCCCTAAACTAAATAGGACGCTTGTAATCGCGATCATGCCGCATCAGCTCTTTCAGTAACTAATACCTGTGTCGCACCTACAGTGGTAGAGAGTTTGATAAGACTCTCGGAAAAGAAAGATTAATCCTGAATAAGCTTCAGCGGATTCTCATTATAAATCTTTTTATATGCAAGAAGCTATCTATAGGAAGATAATAGCCAGGTCAGTCTGGTCGGAAAGAAGCTTGCTTACACCTTGCTTTATATTGAAAGAAGTCTTCCTCCTTGCGAAGGTAGCCTTTCTATCATTTAGTGGATAACTCCTTGCTCCTTTCCACTTAAGGTGGCGCGCCTTAGTCCCATAAGCTTATGCTATACCTGCTTTCCCTTAAGTGCTCAACTGTGAACACCTAATTTTTTACCAAAACATAATATATTTTACACCAATTTAAAATGGGTTATATTTAAAATAAAATAAAATAATAATAATAAATTGTAAATTAATAAAAATTATATGATCAATTATAGTTTAATAAAAAAATTGATAAATAAAAGTTGGAAATTTAGGTTATTTGTTAATTATCAAGTCTAAATATAATAATAATACAGAAAATATTACGAAAAAAAAGAGGATTCCAAAAGATTTCAAATTTGTTTTACGTAATCCTAATTATTCCCAACTTCCTAACTCTATTTACCTAAAAAATCTCATCCCATTTATTTAGTTTTTTTATTTTTTTTCCCGTTTGGACTTTTTTAAAAGCTTCACACATTCTTTTTATTTTTACTATTATTAATTTTCTATTATTATTAATCTTATCTCAACCCCAATTTTCTCAACTAATTTTTAAATTTAATCCTTATCCTACTACACTACGTTTCTTAAAATTAGCACTAGATTCTCACCCAAAAAATATTATATAACCCACGGTCAGTTGAAAAAAAAATGAAATAGACAGAGAGATATAGAGCAAAAAAAAAGAGAAGAAAAGTTAGTTATACTTTTGAGAATTAGGTTATAGTTAGTGTTTTTTGTCGTAGTTCAAAATTCGTGGCTTAAATCAGTAGATTTTTGAAGTTATTTTTCGTCATATCCATTTCCACAATGAGGTAACTTTAAATTATCGCATTATTTAAATGTAGTGTTGTATGAAAATTTAAATCTAATAATATGAAGTACTTTCAATCGTATGTTATTATTATGTAATATCAATCCGTGTTGCATGTTATGATTCTTTTTTATTTATTTTTTTCTCTTGATCTGAAAAACGGAACAAAAAAAACATGTTTCATTTTTTATATATTATTTCAATAAATAAGATGGTTTCCTCTGGAATAAACGTAGGATGATCATCACTTATTCGTATTATTATGAAATATAATTAGAAGGATATATAATATTATTTATAGAATTATGGTAAAAAAAGTAGAAAAATTATTGGAAAGATTAATTAAAAACATAAAAAGAAAGTACAACAATAATAATAAAATAATAATAATAATAATAATAATAATGAAAGAAAAGATTAAAAAAAATAAAATAAGAAAACAGAGAGAGAATGTTAAAAAAAATTAAAAAATTAAAATAAAGAGAAAGAGTAAGAGTGAAAAATAAATAGAAAAACGAAAAAAAGAATTTAAAAAAAATGAAAATTAAAAATGAAAATATACAAATATAAAATAAATAAAATAGATTGTAAAAAAAACCAAAACAACACAATTTCAAGAAATAAATAAAAGAGTAATGAAATTATTACAAAAGAATTTGAAAGAAAAGAGTCAAAATCAATAAAAATAATAAAAAAAGAAGAAGAGAGAAACAAATTTTAGAGAAAAAAAAATATATATAGAAAATTTAAAAAACAAAAGCGTGTAGAAAAAAAGACGAAAAAAGAGAAAAAAAAAGAAAAAGAAGATTTTTAAAAAAAGGGAAAATTTTGTTTCATTAAAAAAAATAATTTAACTGTAACAATCCATTTAGTCGGTCTGAGCTGTAGGGTTGTTTTTGGTAAATACTTACTGGGTCGACGGACCATGTGACGGATATTCGTGGTCACGATTGATCGTCATGGACTCCGTCGTCCCATACTTGTGAAATTTCTCCTGCTACTCCCTTCACTACCCTCGACGGCAAGTATGACGAACCGTCATAGGCACAACGGTCCGTCGAGCGTCTTCGTTCCAAAACACTTCAACTCTTTGAATCTGGGTACTGGTACTAATTCTCTAAACTTCGTGACGGACCTGCAGGACGGACCGTCACAGGTACGGCGGACTGTAACAATCTGCGTAACCCTACTGGGACTAATTCTTTGAACTTCATGGCGGACCGTCACAATCTGCATATTCCCACATGGTGTCAGACATCCGCTAAATTTTAAAGGGGTGTTACAGACTATTCATGTCTATAATTATAAAATTAGTGGGCTAAGTTTAATAATTTATTTAGTTGGGGGTTAAAGTAGATAGTAGGGAGATAAATAGTGGGTTACTTTATCATAATCGATTATATGATAATTAGGGTAAGAAGAATCTGTAGAAAAAAAATAAAAAGAATAGAAGTGGAGGACGAGGGAGAGAGAGGAAAAGAAAGAAGAAAGCAAGCGACTTAGTCTTCAGATCGAGAAGATTCATAGGCACCGAGGAAGGTAAAGGCATTGGAGAGATATCTTGCTTAGTTTCGGTTCTTCGGTGGAGGTAAGTTATGGTTTAATTCTATTTGGTAGATAAACTCTTAATAGCAATCGATACGTATTGAGTGATGTTATAAAATCTCCTATATAATTGATTATATGGTTGGATGTTTGGTTGTGTGGTTTGTGATTGGTCAAGTATAAGGAGACTATTGGATTTCTAATCTTCAAACCTCTCTATTAAACTGACGCCTTGAATAAAGAAGGCTTACTAAAATAAAATAATGTGATTCTTGGTTCAGAGTGTCACGTTCCAACACGGTATTCTTGGATCGGAGTGTCACGTTCCTGCACAATAACATTAAAAAAAAGGAATCTTGAATTATCTTAATATACTCAAATTCAAAAAACCTAATTCCCAAATGAGTATGGAGTGGAGTCATGAGTCCTCATAGGTGTGCTAATACGGTGATTGATGGTGTACTTATTATGGTTTTGTTGTCAATGGTTCATGTGATTGTTGCTTGTCACCTGTTAAATATTGTAGTTGATTTTATATTATTATTCAGTATATATATTGTTTTCTATTTTGAGTTGGCCGATGATACTTATTCAGTATGTGTTCCTTGTACTAACCCCTACTTGTATTTTCTTCCTTGTCATTTTGTGGAGTGCAGCAAGCGTGCCATCGACTTCGACTCGCCCTCAGCTCTAGCAAGTCATAAGCACATCAGAGTTCGGGGTGAGCTATTTTTTCTAGCTCGTGCTTGATTCTCTCCTTCACGTCTTGATGTCTTCGAATTTCGGACATGGACCATCTTTTTACTTATTTCGTTTTCTTAAATACTCTTAGATTTGGTAATGTGAGGATAGATGTTCTTGATGTGATGACTTTCAGATTTTGGGGATAAAAATTGATAAATTTTAGAAGCCTATTTAATTGGTTACATTAATATGTTTTGGATCTTCCGCATTATATTTTGTTATTCATAGTCGAACTATTGGTGAATGTTGGGGTTTAGAATTGTTGGTTTGCTCACCTAGTAGGTTAAGGGTGGTGCCACTCGTGACTCGTTATGGGTCGTGACAAACATGGTATCAGAGCATTAGGTTCAATGATCTCATCACACAAGGACAGGTCTTGTAGAGTCTTGCAGAACGGTATGGGGACGCCTTTACTTTTCTTCAAGAGGCTGTAGGACTTTAGGAAAACTCCATTCTTTCCTTCTCTCGTGCTATTATTTGGATCCAATTGCTATGTAGGTGATACAAATTGGTATCTGACATCCTCACTCTATTACTCAGATGGTTAGAACTAGAGCAACAACTGTGCCAACACCAACACCGGCAAGACATGGTGTGTCTGAGCCAACCATTGGGACTGTAACTCGAGGAGGAGCGGTGGCAAGAGGCTGTGGTAGAGGTCGCAGGAGGACGTCTACTAGAGGTAGAGGGCAGACACCTGGTCTAGCGGGGAATAGAGCAGTGAATCCTCCACCGACTGATGAGGTAACAAGAGAGGGTGAGGAAGTGGAAAATAAGGAGGTTCAAGATGAGAAATTAGCACCCCATCCTACCCCTGAGATGATTAATTAGGTTCTTACTTATCTTAGCGGGTAATTCAATAAGGGCCAGACACCTCCAGTGTTTTCTGCACCTGTACCTCAGGTTCCGGGAGTACAATATGCAGATGTTGTGGCTCCCCGCATGGATGCATGACTCGAAGTAGGCACATTTCCTCGATTGACTACAGGGTCTATAATGATAGGTGATCAACATGACCTTTTCACTATGTTCTTAAAGCTGAAACCTCCAGTCCTTAAGGGTGCTGAATCTGAAGATTCCTATGATTTTGTGGTTGATTGTCATGAGCTGCTATATAAAATGGATATAGTAGAACGATTCGGTGTTGAGTTTGTGACCTATCAGTTTCAGGGGGATGCCAAAATGTGGTGGCGGTCATATGTCAAGTGTCAACAAGCGCAGGCACCACCCATGACTTGTGGATCATTTTCTAGCTTATTTATGGAGAAGTGTATACCCCGGACTTTGAGGGATAGGAGGAGAGATGAGTTCCTGAGCCTAGAGCAAGGAAGGATGTCTGTTGCTGCTCCAAGTATGCCACTCACCTCTGCTTTAGTCCACAAGAGCGGATTCGTCGCTTTGTGAAAGGATTGAGGTCAGATTTACAAATTTCA